GCTGTTGTTTCCCTTGTCTGAGGAGACACATCCAAAAAAATACTGCTAAGATTGATGTCAAAGAGCTTACTGCCTATGTGTTCTTCTGGAAGTTTTATGGTTTTGGGTCTTACGTTTAAACCTTTAATCCATTTTGAGTTTATTTTTGTGTATGGTGTGAGGAAGTGTTCCATTTTGATTCGTTTGCAGATCACTGTGCAGTTGTTCTAACGTGTGTTGAAGAGTCTCTCTTTTCCTCTTTGCCTCCTTTGTTGTAGATTAACAGACCGTATAAGCAGGGGTTTGGGGGGGTCTGTGTTCTGTTCCACTGTTTCATGTGTCTGTCTTTGTCCTAGTACCACACTGCTTTGATTCCTGTAGCTCTGTAATGTAATTTGAAACAGGAGTGCGATTCCTCCGGCTCTGTTCTTTCTCAGGGCGGTTTTGGCTATCTGTTGTCCTGGTCTTTGTTCTAGCAGTGGACTTGTCATATACGGCCTTTATTGTGTTGAGGTGTGTTTTCTCTGTACCCACTTTGTTGAGAGTTTTTGTCATAAATGGATGTTGAATTTGTCAGAAGCTTTTCCTGCATCTGTTGAGATGACTGTGTGGTTTTTAATCCTTCAGTTTGTGTCACATTGATGGGTTCGCAGGCACTGAGCCATCCTTGCAGCCCAGAACCAGTCCCACCTGCTCCTGGTGTGTGATCCTTCTAGTGCTTTGTTAAATTCCGTTTGCTAGTACTTTGCTTGGGGTTTGTCCATCTGTGTTCATCACTGATACTGGCCTGTGGTTTTCTTCTTTTGTGCTGTCTTTGGTTTGGTATCAGGGTGACGCTGGCCTCATGGACAGAGATCGGGAGCATTCCTTCCTCTGCAGGTTCTGGAGTAGTTTCAGAAGGATGTGTTAACTGTTCTTTAAATGTTTGGTAGAATTCACAGGTGAAGCCGTCTGATCCAGGACTTCTGGGGGAGTTTTTGTTTTTTGTTTTTTGTTTTTTACTGCTTCAATTTTATTACTGGTAATTGGTCTGTTTATATTTTCTGTTTCTTCCTGATTCAGTCTTGGGAGATTATACATTTCTAGGAATTGGTCCATTTCCTCTAGGTTGTCCAGTTTATTTTATTACTGTGTAATTATAATGTCCTATGATCCTTTGTATTTCTGTGATACTGGTTGTAACTTTTTTCTTTTTTTTTTAACTTAAAACTTTTTTTCTTTTACTCTTCCCTTTTTCATGTCTGATTCCACTTATGTGGGTTACGTCTCTTTCCTGCTGGATGGGTCTGGCTGAAGGGCTATCAGCCTTGTTTCTCTTTTCAGAGAGTCAGCTCTTGGTGTCACTGGTGCTCTCTCGTTTTTGTTTTAGTCTGTGTTCCGTGCGTTTCTGCTCTGATCTGTGTGGTTTCTTCTGCTGACTTTGGGCTTCGTCTGTTCTTCTGGTAGTTTCTTCAGGTGTAGAGTTAGGTGATTTGAAATTGTTCTTGTTTCCCGAGATGAGCTCGTGTAACTATAAACCTCCCTCTTAGAACTGCTTTTGCTGTGTCCAGTGATCTGAACAGCTGTGCTGGTGCTGGCAGTGTCTGTGAATGGGCTCGAGGGGGAGGGTGGGTCGTGCTCAGACTCAGTGCTGCGGGTGGGGTGATGGCGCTGAGCTCTGGGTGCCTGGGGCAGCAGCCAGTGAGCTGTCACGTGTCTGGTCTTCTCTTCTCCTTCAGACTCTTTTCTCCATTCTCTGCTGCAGACCAAGACCTTCCTTTTCCTTTTCCTGCGTGAATAGGTTGTGCCCTGTACTTTTGGTATATTCGTAGTTTTCTTGAGTTGCAGGACATAAATCTTGTGCTGATAACAGACCTTCTCTTTGCTGCAGTTTGCATGCATTGTGAAGGTGGGGGACCACGCGTGCCAGCGTCAGGAGACGTTGTCGCTGATCTGGACGACCCTTCAGGTTTCCTTCTCTGTCGTGTTAAAATGTTTCTGAGATATTTCCTTTATAGCTGCCCAACCAGAAGATGGAGAGGACACAGTCTGAATTAGTGGTTTTGTCCCCACAGTGGCCTGAGTTCCATAGCTCCTCAGAAGTGGAGAAGTGGTACCACCAACCCAGTCTTGGCTTCCGTGTCTTCAGGTGTCTGCCAGCCCCCAGTCCCAATAATGAGTTTTGATTTTGTATTTTCTGACTTAATGCTTAAAATATTACCCATTTTCTAATGGTTTCTTTCTCCCTCTTTCAACCTTTCTTGTTGGTTTCAGGGGTTCAACAAGATATAGCTTCACAATCTCTGGATCAAGAAGTTTTATTAAAAGTTAAAACTGAAATTGAAGAAGAGCTAAAATCCTTGGACAAAGAAATTTCTGAAGGTCTCTTTTTTCTTATTTTCCTAGTTGCTTAGGGGATTCTGTTGGTGTGGTTTAATTTTTTTTTACAGTAGAGGTCATGAGCGTAGTGTTATAAGGGTAAAACTGGAAGGTACCCCTTTTCTTCCCTGGGGGATATGTTTATTAAAGTCTCCAACTAAACTCAGCAGATTAGATGTAGCCTTTTCTGGTATCAGGTAATGGACTAAACAGGCATGTTTAGCTACTTTCCCTTCAGTGTGATTTGATTTGCTTTTGGTACCTTATGTTAGTAACAACACTGAGGGGAGACGTGGAGGTGAGCTGCTTTTGCTAATTTTTTGTGCACGTGCACCATAGTTGTAGCAGCAAAGTACCTGTGATGTTATAGCCACGCCCTTTAGACTGAACATTAAATCATAAACTTTAAAACCAGTTACATTGTATTGTGTGTGAAGTTACATGTGTTGAATGAATATTTACCCAGTCATTTCCTCATTATTGAGGGGAGCATTTGAGTTATTTCTTGTTTTGCTTTCCATAAATAATTTTTTTTCAGTTTTATTGAGATATGTTCACATACCGTAAGTTTATGCATTTAAAGTGTATGATTCAGTGGTTTTTAGTACAGTCACACAATTGTACAACTATCACCACAATCAAAATTTAGAACATTTTTTATACCCGCCAGAGAAACGCTGTATACTTGAACAGTAACTTTTTGTTTCTGCTCCCACCAGCCCCCGCCCCACCCCAACCATGGCAACCACTAACCTGCTTTTTGTCTCTGGGTATTTGCCTGTGATGGGTTACATGCATAAATAAGTACACGGAACCGCACGCTCTGCTTCCACTGGCTCGTCCCCAGGGGAGCACGTGCCAGCACCCATCCCGCACCGTGTGGAGCCGTGCCCCGCTGTGTGATGTCACCTTTTGTGTGTGTGGCCACCAGCTGGCAGGTCGTCAGGCCGTCTGCACCTTCGGCCTGTATCGTAGCCCTGTGAAGATGCATGTTCATGCTTTTGTGTGGGTTTTTGTGCTGCCCAGTAATTTTTAACAAGAAAAATATAAATTGTGTTTATAAATCAGTTTCCTGTTAGTAAAAGAGAATATGAGTAGAAGTTCATAGAAATCCAGAACCTAACGGTAATCTTCTCTTTTAGTGCCCTTTACTGACACTTCTAACTGACTGACGTAACTGGAGTCTGGTTTCAGAAATGCCACCTTTGTAGAAGGAAAAGCCAAATGCTGAGAGAGGGAGGGTCGAGCTAGGAGATGCCTCACGTTTGTCATTCTCAGACTGAACTGGCCTGTGTGTTTTTAACATGTCAGTTTAGTCTTTTCTTCTCTTAAAAAGTAAGGTTTTTCCATAAAAATCTTTCCTTTAAAAAAAAGATCTCTAAATTTAGGGCCTCTCAAGTTTTGTGTTCCAGGAAAGATAATGTCCCATGACAATGACCTGACTTTCCGGTGGCTTTTAACCGTTAGCTGGTACCCGGGCGTAGCTTCGTGATCCCCTGAGCGCTGGCAGGGCTCCCGTGGGCAGCGTTCAGCACGCTGGGGTTTTCTCTTGTCCTGTCTTCAGCCTTCACCAGCACGGGCTTCGACCGCCACACCTCTCCAGTGTTCAGCCCTGCGAATCCCGAGAGCTCCGTGGAGGACTGCCTGGCTCACCTGGGGGAGAAGGCGCGGCAGGAGCTCGGGGCGTCTCTGCAGGGCGCGATGCAGCTGCTCCTCAGCCGGTGAGTGGCCTCCACGCCGAGGCTCTGTTCTGGCTGAGCAGGGTCACATCTTTCCTCCACGCTTTGTATTTTTGCTCTCCCAAGTCATCTGTGTGTGCGTTTTGAGTGGCAGCTTTTCACCGTAGCAGTGAGTTAACTGTTCCAGGGTGAATTTGATCGTTGAGCTGTCAGGTTTCCGCAGATATTTCTCCCTGTTGTAAACACAAGCTGTTTCTTTCACGTGTCCTGACCCCTTTTACTGCCACTCTTTCTGGGGACCAGTGTAAACAGAATGGCTAGGGTTCTATGTGTTGTGCTGTGGGATTAATGTCACGTCAGTGTTTTGGGGGTCCCAGGTGTTGCTGAACTCTCGGGTTGCCAATCCACTCCTGGACCCACTGCCTCATCCATAGTGGGAACTCTGCTCCCAGCTGTGGTTCTGACTGTTAAAGCTAAAGGCAAAAGAGAAAGGATCATGAAAATATATTAAAATAGAACCACATCATTTATTATAAATCTTAAGAGTCCTTTTCCCTTAATTCTTTCCTGAGACTCATTAAGAGATTGGTCTGAATTAGAAAAAAAAGTTTGTTTTGATGAAGATTTTTGGCAACTATGTAAAGCAAGGAAGACTGTTCTGGACTAGAAGGGCCGGTATGCAGGTGCCAAGTAACTCCTCACGCCCACGTGGGCAGAGTCTGTGCGTTACCATCTGCTAGAAGGACGCAGTTTGAGTTTAAGGAGCGTTCGGTTTGTTTTTGCGAGCTCTGATGACAAGCAAAGGTGAAAATCCAGGTTATACGTGGGAAACAGTGAAGTGAAAATCGTATTTGGATTTTCTTAATTTTATATATAAAAGTGTGAAAAGAAATGTGGAGAGAAGATTCTGGGTGTGGGGAAGTGGAGCCTGAGCCGGAGGCCAGGGGACAGCACTGCTGTGGAGCGCAGCACGGAGGCCAGGCTGGCAGGTGCTCCGCACGGGTCCTCAGCACAGCCGTGCTCCGTGTGGTCTGCATATCGAGGTTTCTTGTTAGATTTGAAGAAACAAGACAGACATAGCAAAGCGCTTGTGAGAGCCGCTGGGGCTGAGAGCGAACTAGCCAGAAGCCCGAGGCAGAACGTGCTGCTTCCAGCCTTGATACGAACCGTCCGTGTTGAATCATTACACTCTGTGCCATAGTTTCTCCGTCAGGTTTGCCTTTACTGAGATGCTGTGATCTCTCCGAAGAACAGTGTTACTTATGTCTTTGGCGTCCTCTTCATAATCTACAGGAAATGTTAGTATCTTTTCACTGCAGAGTAAATTACATTTTTTAAAATGTTGTGTTGAGTGAATATTTGTTTTGTTTTCCCCAGAAGGTAACAGCCTTTTTTAAGTCCGGGTTAGGTTAAGTTGTGAAGCTCTGTTAGCAGTGACTGGAGCACAGCGAAGATGGAGGGGAGGTGCTGCACGGGTGACGACAGTGTCTTTCTTTGAAGGTGGAAAACGCCACCTGTTCCTCTGAGCAGTTGGTGAGAGTGGGAGATGGATCCTGAGCTCTTCGTGCAGCCAGGTGCCAGCAGTGTGACAGGTGCTCCCCGCTTTGTCGTTGCTGGGTTCACGTAGCTCATTAGACAGGGCTCATTTTTAAGAGCTTTTCTATGTGTAGGATTTCCTCGGAATGTTTGAATTGGATGGATCTTCTACGTGCATGCCTGTGTGTACCTGTAGTGCTTCAGTGTGTTTCAGTCTGAAGGGTGCCAGTGTGCTTTAGCCCCCTAGACAGGCACCCCGTAAAGACTCCTGGGACCTGCAGCAGCAGCAGACGGCTCAGGGCGGGAGGCAAAGGGGCCGGACAACACGTGAAGCTTCCGGGGCAGCATGGGCATGTGGACCACACGGTGTCCCTCAGGTTCTGGTTTTACAGCTGCCTAGTGCTCAGCCCGAGTCTTCAGAACAGTTCTAAGCTTACTTTAATCAGGAAGGTGCCCCATGACATCTGATTAAGAAGGTCGCCCCTGGTGTCTCGCCTCCGTTCAGTGTCCCTGTAGGTTGGTGTTACGTTGACTCACATGAAAGAATGAGCCATGTCATCAGAACTGTTGCCTGAAACACCCAGGCCACAGTAGGTGACATGCAGGTCACATGTGTGTAATTTAAAATCTTGTGGCCACATAAAAAATTTAGATTTTAAATGTATTTTATTTACTTCAATATATTAAATATACAGTTTTAGCATGTATTCGATACAAAAATTATTGGTGAGCTGTCGCACGTATTTCTTCTCACTGAGTCTGCATGGAGGGTGTGGGCTGCACGCTGAGCGCCTCGCTAGCCTCGCCCAGAGGCTTGTTGGCAGCATGGGCGTTGGTGTCATTGTGGCCTGTCCAAGCCCTGGCACGTGACAGGCACGGTGTGGCCCTGGCAGCCAGAGCTCCCTGGGTGTGAGGCCCTGCTGTTGACTCTGAGCTTCCGTGCCCTAGTGTGTAACAGGGGTTGCCAGTCTTAAATATCGTAGTCGAGGTCACAGACCAGAGTGCTTGGGGCGGAAAACACCTTTGGAATGGATTTTAAAATCCTATAAAAGCGAGACTCCTCTCCTTTTTTACATTTTTGTTAATTCTTTGCCCACAAAAGGTGAGGAGTGAATTTTTATTAAATCTGTTGTCCAGACTCCCCGGGCCTTCACCTGTAACTCAGTATTTTTGTCATTGTTGTTGTTAATCAGCACACAAAGCCGGGCTTAGAACGTAGCCGCGTGTCTCTCAGTGGATGCGTGCACCAGGAATAGTCGGAAGGCACTGTCCACCCCGGGGCTGGTGTCAGCACAACTCAAGTTAAAAACAGAGGTCTGTTTATGACCTTGGCTTTTACTTTATTCCAACTCCTTAGATCCTCAGTTTGAAAAGTCTTCCAGTGACATGTCTCTTTAATTTTTGAATATTTTCCTTTTTTGCTTTTAAAAAAGTTTAAATTGTTCTTTTAATTTTATTAACGAGGTGACTTTTGCTATTTGTTATTATTTGATTCTATATTAATGACCCACATGTTTGTTTATCTGCAGTGTGGAAATCTTGTTGGATAGGTTTCAAGCAATTGTGAATAATTTGTTATTATTTATTATTCTCGTGTTACAAGCTGGGAGCATAGGTCTCAGCCTGTAGAGAACGTTTGAGGAAAACCATGTACCAAATGGTAAAGCGGGTCCCCGCCAAACAGCGTGTTGACTCTTCTGTGTTACGTCAGCAAAGAGTTCAGCAGCAGAGTAGTGACTGTGTATTTGTTCATCTGGAAATGCAGAATTTTCCTCCTTTGTGACACAGACTTTTAAAAAAAATCTCTACAGGCCAGTGACATATCAGGCATTTCGGGAGTGTACAGTGGAGACCGCAGTTCATGCCAGCGGCTGGAACAAGGTATTCACCCAGTTACCTTTCCTCTTACAAGATTTCCGTGTGTTAGTGGTAAGGGTCAGGAGGAGTCGGCGCGGAGAAGAGAAAACTGTCGAGCTCACTCTTTGATGCATCATCAGCTGTGTGAAGCGGGTGCTTCTGGTTGACGTGCTGTTGTGATGAATGCTGCGCGGTTCCGGTTGGCCCAGAACCGCGTGCGCCGGGGGGGGGGCCGTCTTCCCTCCCATCTGCCCTGAGCCCCCGTCATTTCTTCATGTCTCTGCCCCAGACGTGACGTTTCTCTGCAGGTGGTTACTTGTCTCCAGGTAAGTGTGTCTTTGGGGAAAGCACAGGCTACTTGGTTGTTATGTGAGTAACCCCGTTTGTGCTTACAGTTTTCAGAGCACCTCATGTCACATCTCACTGGATCAGACAGCCATCCTTCGCAGACAGCAGAATGGATTTTATCAGCTTTCGTTTTGTTAGTTAGTTAGTTAGGTCAGATGAATAATCAGAAGAAAAAAGGTAAAGTACTTGCTTTGCTCCCTTGACTAGTAAGTACTGGAGCCAGTGCTGGAGCTGCGGTCTTCTGACTTCAGCCTCGGCGTCTGCCACTGCCCCACACCGCGTGTGCGTCGTCTCGGGCCGGCAGGGCGGGGTCTTGGGGGTGCAGTGTGGGGGCCCAGCTCACCGAGGAGGCAGCCTGGGACAAGGAAGTGCAGTGAGGTCATGTCTGTGAACAGCCACCCCCACTCAGAATTGTCACCACTGTGGGCCGGACTGTGTGACCTTACAGGCCTAATTGATGTCTATTATTTTTACTCACCTTAATACAGGCTTTGGAAGCATTATAGCATAATAATTAGCATCACAGGCCTGTAATCGGACTTGTTTCGGTTATCAGCTTTGCCACAGACTAGATGCATGTCTTTGGGCAGGTTAATTAAGCTCTCTAAACCTACATTTTCACGGACGTGAAGTGGAGGTGATACCACTAACCTAATTTATTACAATTCCATGACATGTGTCCCGAGCTTATTTCAGCATGTTGTCTGGCACTGTAAGAAGTGCTCAGTAAACAGTGGCTCTTATGTTAGATTTAACACCCGGGACCACGTTCCCAAACTGTCACCATTACAGAGTTTTACTATGTTACTTAGCTGTAAAAAATTTCTTAAAATATGTTTCATTTGCTTTCTTGAAATAAAAAAAACCAAACCTCTCTTATATGGACATTTGAAACAGATTTTATAAATAAAAATGAGCTTGGTCATGATACGTTTCTTGGTGCATCACAAGACAGACGGCTGGGCGCCTGAGTGACGGGCCTCCTCCCCCTGTCTGTGCGCCCTTCCCGCCACTCCTGTCTGGTGACTTGACCTCAGCCCCTCATGCTCTCCTCCCCCCGCCCCCGAACCTGCGGCTCTCCTGCAGAACCTAAGTAAACCCTGGTCTTCACTCTCTCCACCCATCCTTTTTCCCTGTTCCCTGCTTCGTTTTACCCGCTCATGTGGACCGGGGTCCACTGTTGGTCTTCGAGGCTGTGGCTTGAATGTGTCGTAAGTGAGGCATTTCAGTTAGAACAGTGCTTGCTCAGCTGACTCCCTGCTACCCTCGTCAGCCCTCCAGGGTGAGAAGAGCCTGGTTTATTAGGAAGGGCAGCGGAGATGTCTGCCTCCCCGGGTCCGAGGGGCTAATTCAAAGCACTTAGCTCATATTTTACGTTTCATACTTTGCGTGAATGTTTGCGAAGTTCTGACACAGCATTGTTGTGTGAACACGGCAGTCTGGCAGATAAAAGGCTCAAGTGAAAGGAAGGTTCATGAAGCCAGGACGGGGCCGGCTGAATGTCGCTTCATCCGTATGGGGGTTTTAAAAGCATCGTGGTATAAAGCTCTTTAGACAGGTTGAAAGAAATGGAGGGAAAAAGCTGCTCACAAACCTGTGTTAATAGTATGATTTTTTTAAAAAAAATACATGTGTAAGTGAAGGCTGTACAGTATGTATGTGCCAAGAGTCCTAACTGGAATGTGTGCCGGATTATACAGGGTGGTCGTCTCACACGTGCAGGTATTTTTCTTTAATTTTCTTATTTTTCCCTTCATGGGTATTGGTTTTTCCTGTGAACTTACCTGCTTATAGAAAGAAGGGGAAAAAAAGACCATCAAAGAGAAAAGGCAGCAGAGTGGCGGTGCATGGTGTGCGCACCGTGATGGGCTTCAGAAAAATGATACAAAGATAAGCGAAGTCTTTGTGGGTAATTAAATCACCGATCTTTTCAAATCCTTTACTGTTAAATCTCAGGTGTGCACAGAGTGGAACTGACAGCATGACAAACCTCATGCACCTGTCACTCCGCTTCCACAGTTACAGCCTGGCTGGTCCGGTCCGTCCCTCTCTTCCCGCTTTCCCCTGGGTCGTTCTGAGGGGAACTCTGGCCATCGTGCCGTTTCACTCGTGAACACACTAGTACCTGTGTCCGAGGACACTACCCCTTTTTTAAACAACTGATAATGCCATTATGACACCTCAGATACTGACAGTGATTCTTTTTTTTTAATTTAATTTTTTTTCCGTTGTGTCAGTTTCTGGTGCACAGCACAATATCCCAGTCACGTACATTCGTTTTCATACTCTTTTTCATTATAGGTCATTACGAGATACTGAATATAGCTCCCTGTACTATACAGAAGAAATTGGTTTTTTAGCTATTTTATATGTAGTAGTTAGTACTCGCACATCTCAAACTCCCAATTTATCTTCCCACCCCCCCCATGACCATAAGTTTGTTTTCTGTGTCTGTTAACAGTAATCCTGGTGTTATCACATAGTCTGTTCAGTTTTCAGATTGCTCCAGGTGCTTACAAAGGCTGATTTGTTTGACTTGAGACCTGAGCAAGGCTCACGCGTTGTATGTCGTTGATATGTCTTAAGTCTTTCCTATAAAGAAAGTGGAAGTATCGTTCCTGTACCGTGAAGTTTGCCCTTCTGAAGTATGCAGTTCAGTAGTTTTTAGAACATTCACAGAAGTGTGCGACTGTCTACACTGTTTCCAGAACACCTTCATCTCCCCCAAAGAAACGCTGTGGCAGCCCCTCCCCACTTCCTACCCCCCACTCCTGGCAGCAGCTCTGCTCTGCCTTAGAGTTTGCCTGTTCTGGACATTCATACACGTGCCACCGTGGAATCTGTCACCTCAGTCTCTTTTACTATGCAGATTACTCTCTCTCTCTCTTGGTTTTCTTCCTGCTCTAATTGGCTTACTGGTTATTTGTTCTGTAGAATTTTCCTGCCTTCTGGATTTTGACTGCATTGCTGAGGTGCCACATAACCTATTCCTCTGTGTCTGCACAGCCGACCCTTGAACACCGTGGGGGTTGGGAGCGCCGGCCCTCCCTGCAGACGAAGTCTGGGTCTGACTTCGCGCTGGCCCTGCTGTTCTCCATGCACGTGGTTCCGCGTCTGCGGAATCGGCCACGTGTGGGCTGGCCAGGCGGCTGCAGTCCTTACTGCTGGGGAAACCAGTGTCTCACCTGCGGCGGGACCTCTGCACCCTCGAGTCCCGCAGTTCAGACCACGTTGTCCAGGGGCAGCTGCATCTCCTTTCCACTGTTAGGTCAGTCTGCAGGCTGGTCACAGTCAGGCTTCACCTTTGTGGCAAGACAGTGTCAGTGTTCTCTGTTTCCTGTCGCACCACACTGGGTGATACGAGTGCCCAGTTGTCTCTTAAGTTTTATTTTGGAGGAGGTGTGTCAGAGGCATTCAGACGTCATCGGTGAGTCAGATCCAGATACCAGCTGTGGGATTGACACACACTAGAATTGCTGAGGCGTAGAAGGCTTAGGCGGTAACGGTGGAACGGAATGTGTCGTTGCCATCACGGGGTCTGCTCCCCTGCGAGGACTCCTGGCACGCTGTAGGCTGGCCTGCTCTGTTCCTGCTGCGGCTGGCTCCCATGCTCTTTAACAAAAGGGTAACGTTAGCCGAGTGTGACCTGCTGGAATAGGACGCCCCGTGGGACACACGAGGAGCTGGCCAGTGGGGGGAGTCCTACCTGTGGTCAGAAACGCCTCGGCGTTCCTCTGTAGAAGTTATCAGAGGGGAAAATAATTCATATGTGTTGTGGGGTTACCGGCATCCAGCAAGGGAGTGACCTACAGAAAGGAGTTCACAATTGAGAATTACTTGCTTGCTTTTTATTCCCAGAGCTGTAAATAGTGGGGCCTTCTCGGAGTGGACACTTGGGGACCCAGTTTTGCTTTCCCCTTTTTAAGTTCCATGGGAGGGGACAGATAAAGAAATACCAGGTGTACCGATGATATAGAACTCCTGTGGGCAGTAGAATGTGAAGCTGATGCGATCAGTCGTAGAAGTAACTCATGCACTGTGTGTGTGATCCCAGCAGTTGGAGGGCAAGTGTGTATAACTGAATAAAGGCAGTCTGCAGTGTCCGCTGCAGTGGGTCCCTGAAGACAGTGTGTTGGAGAGGTGACCATGCAGACCGGGAGTGTGACGGCCAGACGGAAGGAGTTAGTCTCGTGCAGGGAGGGTCCTGCCCTCACTGCGCTTCATGAGAGGGAGACGTGGTCGGGAGGGAGGAGACCCAGGAGAGGGTCCTCGGGTGGTCACAGCAGTGGAGGAGCTGCTGTGTGAGGGACGGACTACAAGATTAGTGGATTTCAGCATAAAAAGCATGGTGAATAAGAGGGAATATGATTAAGGACTGAAGTTAAGACAGTGGTGAAAGAGGATTACGGGCCCTCTCGAGGTTACGACGCACTAGAAGTAGGGCAGCTGCGTTGGCCACACGAAGGAGGTAAATTTGGAACAAATAAGAGCAAGCTTTATTTTGCATAGCAGGTATGACATGTTCGCGACTCACTTTTCTAAGCGGTAGTGGAGCTTAAACATGAATAACTGAAGCACACCGCACGCTAGTCGATCGTTCCGGGAAGTGCGAAGGTTCCGTCTGAGTCACGGGCGCCCTGCTCCTGCTGGGACAGAGCCCGGGCTGGCGAGCGCCGTGTGTGCTCTGTCCCCAGCGGTGACGCGGGTCTTCTGCTGGGGGAGCGCGATGCATTCTTCTTTAAGGCCCTGTGCCCCTCTGTTGGTGCTGGGAAGGGCTTGTTACTGCTCTTCGGGCTGGAGGTGGAACGTCAAGACGGGTGTGTGTTGCTTTTTCTTCCCCCAGACTGTGAAACCCCTCAGGGCTGCTTTTACTTAAAAAACCAGAGAACACTAGTGAGGGCATGGGCCTGCTGTCTGTCCTCCTGCAGAGTGTGCGTGACCCCTCAGCGGGGCCTTGGCGGCTGGTAGTGGAACGGAGATTGGTTTCATTTCCTCTGCATTCCTTTTCCAGTCACGCGGGACCCTGGTGTTCCAGGCAGGAGAGGTTGCGTGCAGGTGGCGACCTGGAAGGCTCTTCTGGGAAAACAAGGAAAGGGACTCTAGTTAGTCCCTGTCATAAATTCTGATGATTTTTAGGTATTGAGCCATGAGGTTATTGGGAGATAACAACACCTTCTCTGGTTTCTGATGACTTTCCTGAGACAGCTCATGATTTTGAAAGCCCTTGTTTTCAAATCTGATAAAAGTACATGGTACAAAGTGCACAAAGACAGACACTGAGGGGTGCTTCCCCGTAAACCGCTCACCTGGCTTTCCTCCTCCTAGGTCACCGCTGTCGCCCGCGTGTGTTCCGGGGCCCTGCAGGGTCACAAAGGCGTGTGTGGGTAGAGGTTTGGTTTTGTTCACACGACTAGGACTGTTACTGTACACACTCTTCTTTATATTACTTTTTTCGCTGAAAATAAATCTTTGCAGTTGGGCAGTGAACAGTCTGATTCTTTTTAACGACTGCACGTTCCTGGATTACCAGCATTTATTTAGCAGTCCGTGTTGGGTGGTTTCCACTCTTGCTGTTATGAACAGTGCTTCAGTGGATTTGCTGTATGTATGCTGTTCACACACACTCACATGTGCATGTGCACTCGCGAGCTCAACAGTTTTTGTGACATTATTGCTACTACCTGGTGGGATAAAACGTGAAACATACAGTATTCCTAAAAACTCGAGTAGGGGTCGCTGTTTTCTTTCTTTTACTGTAAAAATGAAATTCTATAATGATTCACCAGAGTGTAGTTTCTAGTAGTTGAACATATAAAATCAATTATAAGAATTTCAGTTTGTTTTTTACTCTCTCGTCTTTGCATTGAAGATTTTGGTGCCTCTGATTTTGCTGCGACAAATGCTTTTGGAGTTGACGAGACGTGGTCAGGAGCCTCTGAGTGCTTTGCTGCAGTTCGGTGTGACGTACCTGGAGGACCACGCAGCGGAGTACATCATCCAGCAGGGCGGCTGGGTATGCGCTTTCCAGTGTTTCTGTGTAATCTTCCCTCAAAAAAAAAAAAAAGAAAATTAAGCTCCCCAATGTTGTTTTTAACAGCAAAGGTCAGATACCGTTATTTAACATTGATTGGCTGACGATCAGTGGAAAGCCAGTTCGTGCAGTGTAAGTTAAACCACTGAGGTTTTACTGCTAGTAAGTTGATACGTGGTGTTTTTCAGTCGTTCTAATTATGAAACGTTTCATGCTAGCAAAAGACACGTGAACAACTAAGGGATGGGGGTGGTGGAGCGAACACCTGCGCGTTTGCCATCCCCGCCCAGGGAAGGAGTCCTGGCAGCGTGCGAGCCTCCTGGTCTGTCCCTCCTGGCTCTGCACGCGCTCCTGCCTGCCCCACAGGCGAACACTCAGTTCTGACTTGTCACAGTTTAAGTGCACGTCTCTGTTTCTAGACGATACATGCGTTTTGTGTTTGGAACTTTATGTGAATCGTCCCTTCTCTGTCTTCTGTAGCTGTTTTCACTCTGTTACATTCCTGATGTTCACCTAGCTCATTGCGTCTCAGCCTTTTTTGTTACCACTCCCCTAAGGATCCTTTTTAGACGTTTTTATCTTAATCATTTCCCTTTCCCCCCCATGAAATTTTAAAAGCACAGACAGTGGGGGAGGGCATAGCTCAGTGGTAGGGCTCATGCGTAGCATGCATGAGGTCGTGGGTTCAATCCCCAGTGCCTCCGTTAAAAAAAAAAAAAAGACAAAAACAGTAAAAAAATAGTGAGTAAATAAATTAAAAAATAAAAGGACAGACTTGAGTCCGTTTATGTGCTGCGGCCTTTTGGAGGGTCACAGGCCTTTGCCACATGTACGATTTCTCCCATCTCCCTGACCGGTATTCACCCCTGGAATCATCCCCGTTGGCAATGCCTGATCTCAGGTGATCTGTTGACTGGCATTTGGTGTCCGTGTGCGAATATGTCACAGTTTATCTGTAGTTTATTTACCTGTAGTCTTACCAGTGGGTATTTTCTCCTTTTGCCCTTACAGACGCTGCTGTTACGAACACTCACACTTGTGTGCAGGGGTTTCTCTGAGTGTACACCTCGGAGGAGAATTTCTGGTTCCGAGAGGGTGCGCAGGTTCTCCTCTACAGGACTGTGCCGGAGTGGCTTCCAGAGCGGTTTCCCAGCTTGCACGCTGTCAGCGGGATATAAGGATTTCTGCTGCTCTGCCTCTTCCCCAGTCAGACTTACTAATGCTTTAAATCACTTACTGAAATAAGGTTATATCGGGGTGACCTTAGACCTACAGAGGTTCCAGAGCGAGAGCACCCACACTCACACTCACCCGGCTCCCCCGGTGCTAACGTCCCAGGCACCTGTGTCCCTTTGTCAGACTGACGTTTCCACGCTGGCTTTACCTCCCGCAAGTTGGCCCGCCTCTTACGGCTCTGAGTATTTCCCTCTAGATCCCTTTGGGTTTTCCACACAGGAAGTCACACCGGCATTACTGTGCACAGTGACAGGGCTTTTCTTGCCGGGTGCAGCCCCAGTCAGGGTCCCCAGCACAGTTACCGCAGCGGTCGCTGGAAGGCAGCCCTGTCTTCCTGACGCTAACGTGAGTGCCCGGTTGTGCGAGTCTCAGTGAGCGAGGCTGGCCCGCAGCGCTCGCCTGGCCTCGGTTCTCAGGGCGTGCCGGCTCTGGGGCAGAGCTCACAGTTGGGAAGAGTGTTTCTTTCCTCTTTTCCTGTGGTCTGGAGTGGTCTTCATGAGACCCTTACTCGTGCCTGGCTTCCTGCAACATTCCTGTAGGCCTGCCTGGTATTTCTTTCGAGGGAAGATTTCTGGTTTTTCCTGTTGACTTTTGATAATCTTTCCTGGATACCATCCCTAAATTCTCAGATTTGTTGGCACAGAGTTGTTGAGGCTTTTCTTTGTGGAGGAAGGTGCAGTGGGTTATTGTTCACTTCTCTTACACTGCTTTAACTTAAATTTTCTCTGTGGAGAATTTTGATCACGTACGAAAACAGGCGGGACAGTGTGGCGAGCCCCCGTTGCCTGCGCAGCGGCAGCTAACTTACTGCCAGCTGCTTACAGCGCCTCCCTTCCCCCTTAATACTGTTTTGAAGCAAAATCCAGACATCATATAATTTTATTTCCAAAAATGTCAGTATGTATCTCTGAAAACTAAAGGTTCTCTTTTTACTTTAAATCACGTCACAGAGAATTAGAAGCCGTCTCTCCATGCCGTAGGCGCCTGTTGGCGCCCGCACCCCCAGGCCTTAGGAGCCCCCTGTCTCACAGCCTGCGCTCCCTTCCATTCCTATTGTTCTCTCTTGGCTCCGGTTTTCTTTTGTTTGGGTTTTTAATTATTTTTTCCGTTTAAAGTAATTTTCATTGCCCGGGGTGTTTTCCCTTGTGTCTCATTGTGTTCTCCCTTTCCGTGAGCATGAACTCAGGCTGAGCGGCGCTCGCCTCTGTCTTGCACTTACTAACTTGACCTCGTTCTAAGAAAGGGATGGTAGTTACCTTGCAAGAAAAAAACTTATGCCACTGCTGGTTAAGCTCGAAGGCTGGTGGCACTTAAAGGAGGCAGTGGTGTCGTTGACGAGATTATATTCGGTTGGTGGCATTTGTGGTAATTCCTGAACAACGTTTTAAACTGTTAGGAAATTCTGACGTGGGAATGAGGGGAGTAAAACGCCTCCTTTGAGTCTGGACGAAACCCTGGACTCGAGGTGCCTGCAGCTTGGATGTCAGAGGAAGGTGGTGGTCGGCCTTGCTGACAGTGGTCTCAAGTTCACACAGACTTTGTGACAAGCCCCCGTCCCAGGCCCCTGCTTTCCTGGGGGCTCTGCTTCCCCTCAGTGGGTGCTGCGGAAGGTGTGCCGTGTCGGCGCGCAGCCCCAAAGCCAGATCCGGAGGGAAGAGTCAGCGTGAGCTCCCCGGGAGATTCGGTGGAGAAAACGCCCCTTTCTTCGTGCCCCACTGCTCCTCAAGCATAAATGTGAAGAGCATCTGGGGTGCCTTGAGTGGGACCCTGTAGGTGGGCTGTTTTGGGGTCTTCTGGACCCGACACCCAGCCTGCACTTTTCTTCAAGCATCATCTGCCTTGTCTCCTTGCACAACTTTTGCCCCCACCTGCTCCCGCCTCCCCCAGAGAAGGAAAGCGCCCGCCCTGCTGAGTGATAGGGTCCCGGAGGAGGACACGTTTCCTGCCTTGGTTTTCTCTGCTGTTCCGCATTCATTATTGCATTAAATATATTTAAACTGAACATGAACTAACTTTCCAGCTTTCTAGCTTCAAGGAAACTAGTCAGAGGAGGACTGCCTGGTTAGAAAGTCTTCCTCTGCCTTGTTCTGCAAGTGAACACCTTCAGTCCAGAAGCTCTGAGGTCTTTATTCCTGGAACTTCAGTTTAGGGAAGAATTTTCCCAGATTTACACTCATTTTAAATTTATTTAGCTGCCTTGGACTTGTCTGTCCTCCTTCCCTAGGGTACCGTCTTTAACCTGGAGTCGGAGGAGGAGGAGGAGCCACCGGCAAGTGTGGCGGAAGACAGCAACGACATTTACATCCTGCCCAGCGATGGCTCCGCACACGTCAGTCCTCCCGAGTCCCCGGCGGCCACCGCCTCGTGGCAGGCGGAGAGCCTGCCGGTGTCCCTGTCGGCCAGCCAGAGCTGGCACACGGAGAGCCTGCCGGTGTCGCTGGGGCCTGAGTCCTGGCAGCAGGTCACAATGGACCCTGAAGAAGTGAAAAGCTTAGACAGCAACGGGGTCGGCGAGCGGAGCGAGAACAACTCCTCCAACTCTGACATCGTGCACGTGGAGAAGGAGGAGGTGCCCGAGGCCGGGGAGGGGGCTGGGGGGCCTGGTGGGGAGGGGGCGGCAGGAGGGGGCGCCAGCCCTGCGACGTCGCTGTTCGTGGAACTCGGTGAAGAAGAGGTGGACGCAGCCGCGGGACCTGCTGCCCCAGAGCAGGAGGGGGTCCCCGCGCCGCATGGAGGGGAGGGGCTGCCCCCGGGAGAGGCAGGGCCCGGCCCTGCCGGCAAGGAGAAGGCTGGCCTGCTGCCCGAGGGCAAGTCCCTCCTGCTCTTCGGAGGGGCTGCTGCAGTTGCCTTTCTGGCGGTGGCCGTCGGGGTGGTACTGGCTCTGAGAAAGAAATAGACTTTTCAGATAAAAAGGACAAAAGGAGTGAGGTTTTAGTTGCGTTGATTGAATTTGAACTGCCAGCAGCTGGCTGGACGTTTATGGGACACTGGGTGCTTCTGGTCAGCACGGTGTGGGCCGGCCACACACAGTGGGGCTGGAGGTGGAAAGTGTCTGTCATCTGTCTGGCTGGAGGCTCCCAGGCCCGGGCCCTTGCTCATCCAGGTCTTTTGTGAAGAGCTCCCCCACCTCGATGTTGGCACCCCACCCTCTGCCCCTGAGCGCCAGGAGCACCTTCCCCGACATTGCCAAATGTCCTCTGGGGGAGAGCCATCCCGCTGACTGAGGAGGGTCTAGGGTAGGAGCTCCCAGGCAAGCGGGCCCAGCTGTGAGCTCCTGGGCCCGTGACCCTGGCATCTCCTCTCCTGATGCACACGCTGTGCTTCGCAGCCGGGCGTCCTCCGCCCCAGCCCCCTCCCCCTCCCCGGCCCGCAGCACGAGGTGCCCTGCGGGGTCTCAGGTACGGCCACCCCTCCCGGAGAGGGCTCCCCAAGGCCTCATCCCTGCTGCTTCCTGCAGTTCCCCTTGTAAAGACGCTGCCTTTAGTCATGTTTAAAACCATACATAAGGAACGAAAGAGACATGGCTGCGGGGAAGTCTACCAGGTTCGGAAGCGGGAGGGTGGCTTAGCTGACCTGCTGAAGTTCTTCTGGCCCTGTCTCTGTGGCCACGGACGGTCACTGCCCGTCACTGTGACCAGGGCCTGGCCTGAGTCTTCTTCCCAGCCAGCCAGCAGCTCTGCGGCCTCTTGGCCACGTGCTGAGGATTCCTGTACTTGGGCTTACAGATCAGTTGAATCATAACTCTTACTAAACACACAGTCTCCTAAACGTGGAAATGAGAAGCAGGGAGAGGCTGCCCTCAGGGTCGGGTCTGGCGCTCATTTCAGGGCAGAGGCCCCTCTGCTGACAGCACAGTCCGGGCGCCAGGCACTGAACCAGACGTTTGGTCACCAGCAGGCTCGCCTGCTGACTGCTGCTGATCGCGTCCCCAGGGGGCTGTCTGCTCTTGCCGAGGGTCAGTGTCGCTGACGGGACACACATGTTCGAGACAGGCCATCTCAGATTCATCTTAGTAAATGTAACGTTACTTTTTAGATCCTGAAATTTGTAATAAAATTACTTTACCTATCCTGATCACCAAAACTTGATGTTCTACATGTGCTTTCTTTTTTAAATTTATTTTTAAAATTAAATCTCTCTAAAGCAGTACTATGTAAAAGTTGGTCAGAAAGGTCTGGAGTGTGTTTGTTACTGTGCAGGTGTCTCGACACTTGGAGTCTTGGTGTCCTGTAGGCAGGGACGTTTTCGAGGACAGGCTGGTGCTGTGGGTGAGGGGAGGGGGACGAGCGAGGCAGAGCACTTCCTCGCACCCCCCCTCCCCGACCCTGTCTGCTGCACTGGTGTTGGCGTCGGGTGACTTGTCTTGATTCTTCCCCTTTGTAATCTGCGTACCTTCCCACATTCACGCTTGCAAACTTGGGATCCTGACCCCTTGGTGAACACACTTGAGCGCTAGGAGAAGCCAGGTCACGTCTGGGCCGCTCACAGGTCAGTGCTTGTTCTCCAGGGCACGTAGGGGTGACGTGGTCTGCTGGACAGTAACCGGGCCTTCCCTGGGGCCTGGCCTTCCTGGGCCGCCTCATGGTCAGCTTCTACGTGTTAGGGTGTCAGTGTTGCCTCTGGCAGGCCGGGGAGAATGGAGTGCCTGGTAAGCATTTTTCTTAAAGCGGCTCCTGTTTTTTGCTGCTACATTAAAAAATCATTTCTCCACCTCCCGCCCCGTTTTTGGTGGGGCCGGCCCCTCGTGTGTGTGACTCATCGAACCCCTGAACCTGAGGGCAGAGAATGAATGCAGCTTGTTCAGGGGATGCAGGTGCCCTTCATGCTCCTCGTCCTCTGAACTGTTGAGAAGTTTTGCTAGAAAGTTCCCCAGCGCTCTTAACTGCTCTACTGAATGTAATGATTTCTGACCGCTTGGCAAAAGCCACCAAAGACTTCTTGAGAAAAACATCAGAGTTAAAGAACACTGGTTTGTTCTCTCTGTGGTGAAGTGGCAGCAGCTCTGGGCCCACAGTGCGCCTGCGGGCTCCCACGATGGCCGCTGCCAGGAAAGCCTTCTAGGGGGAGAGCCACCTGCTGACCCTCTGGTTCCCAGAGGCCTCCAGTCACACGCAGCCCCCGCCTGCGTATGGCCTGGGGGACGTCACCAGGGACTGGAGTTTTGTGAGCCACAGCTACCGTTAATTTCCTGTGGAAATCGATTTCCTCGGCCTCTTGATAATCCCGACACAAAAACCACGCTTGCTCTGCCTGTTTCCCTGAAGGAAACGTGGAGAAACGTCAAACCCACGGAATTTTAAGGTTATTTTCAGAGACGTTTTACAGAAATAAAAGGTACTGTAGGTAAGATTTTTTCCCCTCCCCCTTAATTTCTTTTGACTGTTTACACAAACTTATCTTACAGAGAATTTGAGGGGTGGTCCTACTTCATCCAGAGGGGCTGTGGGCTGTGTGGTCACTTCACAGAAACAGCTCCTGGCCTCTGGGTCAGCTCCCCCCAGGCACTGTCTCGTGTCCATCCCGGCAGCGCACTTGATGCTGGATCTCCTGTTCTCCGGAGGACCACGACCTGCGCTGTGCGAAGCCTCTGCGTCCCCACGGGTCGGCGGTGAGGTGGGCACGTTTTTCCGTATTAGAATAATACCCTTTTGTCAAAGGTGTGGTGGTTGTACTTGTAGCCAAGTAGCTGAACGTTTACCGTGCTCTTGGTCCCTGAATTACAACCGGCTTGTCTGTGCCCCTGTGGCTCAGGGTGCTGTTCTCAGGGGCGTGAAGTCCACTTCCCCGTCTCCTCCGAGTGACCTCCCCACCGGGTGCTCACTGGCACTAGGCGTTGGCTAGCTAACATGCTGTTCAGACAAGTCTTAAGGTGACTGGCTCGTTGCCTCCTTCCCCGGGAGTCACAGGGAGCTGGGGTCCTGTCTCCTGTCAGTCTGGACTGATGTGACCGCTACCGGGGGCTCCAGAGCTGTGGTAAGCGGGGGTCGCTGGCCAGCAGCGGAGGAGAGGGGGCATCTGCTTTTCCCTAGACCTGCGTTCCTCCTGCTGGCAGTTTCTTTCTTCAGATTGAAAGTGCCTCTTTGTACTAACTCATTCTGAGTTCAGTTTATCACAGATTCTCATGTTCTTGGCCCCTCAGAAGTACTGGGGTTAGATGGTGAGGTGGCACCTGTGAGGCTCCTCCGCTGTCCCCTCCTGTCACCTGCCTTTCGGCTGCGTGCTCTCCAGCAGGGGAAGGGACGCAGCTCCAGTCTGAGTTTCAGTTAGAAGCAGTGTGGGGGGAACACCGTGGCAGGTGTCATAGAATGAGATCTGAAGGGACTGATGGACCCCTTTCCACTCCTGTGGTAATCGCGTGCCCTCGACGTAGGGGGGTGGTTCCAGGTAAGCAGTCCCGTGTCCTGAGTACACAGGCCTGTGGCCTGAGACGGCCCTGAGAACATGGCCACAGCGTCCAAAGGCCCGGTCTGCACAGCTGGCAAGGCTGTCGGGGGAGAGTGGCGTCTGGCGCTGTGACCCCGAAAGGCAGCCCGCGCAGCCCCCAGCTCGAGGTCAGAGTGACCTGACCCTCCGAAGATGCCAGGTGCCTCGCCGGGCTCTCCGCACTGCCGGGCACCTTCTGGGAGGGAGCTTATTGTCTTTATCTGTCACTTAAATAATTAAAAAGCAGATGAAACAGTCTTAATCAAATACTTTCCAGTTCTGCCCACAAGGACTGTATTATGTGAAATGCACCAAATTCCAGGATGTGCTCAAGACTGGAAACTTTGTAATGGGGAGAAAGTATCTGACTTGGCCTGGAAAATTTTACAACTAAAACATGTATAAAGTGGCAGGTGAGGATGCTGTGAAAAATGAGTCTCCCCTGAGTGAGACAGAGGTACGAGGGGATGGTTCGTGTGGTTTGACCTGTTTCCACCGGGACATGAATCCTTCTAAGTAAGTCCAGGACCCCTAGCGAGAGCGTCCCTGGAAGATGTGTCCCAACGGTGGCCTGGCCCCAGGGTGGTCATGTTCAGTGCTGAACCATGTGGAGTCATCTTTTGTTCTGATAAATTTAGACTCAGGGAGAGAAGGGTTTTGGTGACAAGAACATGTTTATTACTTCACTGCCCTATTCACGTGCCTCCCAGAGCACCACGCTCGCAGTCACGAAGGCATCTGCTCCGGCTGATGTGTGCACGGGCCCCACGTCCACTGCCTGCCTCTGCCTCAGCAGGACAGACTGGACTGCGCTGTTTCGAAACGTAAGTGCCCCTGGTTGACTCTGGTGCTGAGTGGTGTGTTGCTGCCTATGCTCTGACTTGTGTCCCCATCAAAGGGAGCCTCTCAGATGCTGGCTTTCTGGAAGACTAAATGTTCTTTCATGTTTATGCCCGGAGAGCTGTTCTCCACACGCAGCCCTCAGGCAGGGGTGAGCTGAGGGGCCGGCTGGGGAGAGGGAAGGTTCCAGATACCACCCCCCAGGCGCAGCTCCGTGAGAAGAGGGTGCGTGGTGACTCTGTAAGCTGGCTGACTTGAAGTCGTCTCCACACCTTTTAAGTGCCTTTGGTTCTTGACTCAAATAAAAGGAAAAAGTCAAAAACACGTTTTGAGGCCTGATGTTCCCAGAGCCCAGACCTCTTGTGCCCTTTGGTTTTTAAATAGGAAGACTGGACTTCCTTGGTATCAGGCTGTCCCTCCTTCCAGGGTGGCTTTTTCACTCGTAAGGGGCATGTCCCTCCCCCTCCAGCGCTTGGGCCTCAAAAACCCAGAGCACTGCTGCCCTGAGACCACCCCCAGGGTTGCACTTTCAGGAGCAGTAAAGTGGGTACTTTTTTAAAACAAAAAGACTTAAACACCTTTACAGTAGGTGGGGCCCTCACAGCTGACGTCAGGTAAAGGCCTGGCGTGGGGACGGGTTCAGGTGATGGCGTGCAACAGTCACATGTGCACATGCTCACTCGGCGTGGAAGGGAGGTTGCTGAGTGGTCCCAGTTAAACACCGGCTCTGGGATGGTCCTCTCAGCTGCTTAAATACCCACGAAGGCAGCTGCACTGCTGTCACCAGCTCAGGTGTCTCCAGCCCCGTTTTCATCGAGTGGTGCACTCAGTCCAGCTCCTGTGGCAGGGACGGAAAACAGTCAGCCTGTCTGCCCCGCAGGCCAGGCCCCCGTGCCCGGACCTGCAGTCGGTGGAAGTGGACTGGGGCTTTGCAAACGCAGGCTTTCCCCCCGAGTCACGCACAGCGCCGAGGGCTGAACCAAGGCTGTCTCAGCCCCGCACACCGGGTGGGCTGGTAACAGACAGACTCGTGTTCTCGGGCTTCTCCCCTCCCCACGATTCAGCGTGCTTTCACACTGGATTGGGGTTTATATTCACCCCAGTTGTAAGACGCCTGTGAAGCTGGAGACCATGCAGAGCACGCGCTTTCAAGGCTCATCAGGGAACCTGAAGAGGGTCAGAGGCCTGAGCCGTGCTTCTGACAAGTAAAAGCCCAGACATTCACTAATGTTTTCAAACTTTCAGACAAGACGCCCACTTCCCTTCCAGCTAGTTTGTGAATAAACCCAAGCCAGAGGCCTAAGGCCTGCCTGGCCTCTTCCTTGGGCCACAAAGAGCTGTGGGCTCAAACTCCCTGCTTAGAAGACAGACTGCAGTCCCCTCTTGACCGTTGATCCTCCTTGGTAATCACGTAAGTTACACTCATTTTGGGACAAGGTGAAGTCGCAAGGAGATGGGAGGCAGCCTGGGCACCTCCCACCACCTTGCCTCCATCCTGTCACGAGCGCCAAGTCGGCCTTCACCACCTCCCACCAGTGCCTTTCCTGCTCACAGAAGCAGAACCTGGCCTTTCTTCCTGAGCAGGAAGACTGCCTTCTCTGGGGTCTGGTCACCAGCAGGCAGCCCTGCAGGACGGTCTCAGACCTTAGGGGAGATGCCTAGGAGCTGGTGTTGCTGGCTCTTACATTTTGGACTAAGTTCCTCACATAGGTGAGAAGATTCTGGTTGATGAAGTTCACCGTTGTGCGGAAGACGTCCTGGAGCAAGGCTGGCGTGTGACTGGCCACCTCTTTGGCCAGGAGCATGGTCAGCACGAGCAAAGTCTTCTCCTGGTCCACATCTGCGGGGCAGGCCTGGAGGAGCTGCCCCAGAGTCGTGGCGAAGCCCCGCCTTCTGTCCTGCATGGAGGAGACAGAGCCTCGCTGACCAGCCTCCTCCTGCTGGAGGAAGGCCGCCCTTCAGTGACAGCCATGAAGGGGCCTTCCTTTCAGAGGAGCGCTGTCAGCAGCAGATGCTGGAGGGGAGTGAGGACAACTCTGGTCTGAGAGGGCAGACGGAGACCACCCCCCCCCCAGCACCTGAGCTGAGGGTCAGTGCCCACCGAGGGCATCCGGGCCTCATGCAAGGGTGCAGGGAGAGGAGGAACCCCTCCCGCCCGTCCAGGGGAGGCCTCCATGGACCATAGGCCCCAAAGGACCTTCCCTGAGGGGGAGAGAACGTCACAGCTGCTTGTGCGCCACGACACCTTCAAACCTCAAAAGGGAGCTCCCTGGACGGGCCAGACCCTGGACTACATTTCTGAGTGTTGGGGGGGCCCCTGCGTCCTTAGCCATCAGTAGTGGACCCCCCCACCTTGGCTCCTACACATGCCTGACGGCCTTGTGGGGTGTGCCCGGCCTGTGGGGCCACCCCTGGTGGGGACTTAGCTCTGTAGGCTCCCTCAGTCAACTCCCTGAACTGGAGGAAAGAGCCACACACATCGTGTTCACCTTCTGGGGGCTTTGTCCCCAAACGCTGGATCTGACTGAAAGTTTGGGTTTTTCGTGTCAAGTTACTTAGTTCTTCTTAACCTGAAGGGTCGTCAGGCTGGTCCTATTTCCAGCTCTTTTGTGGACAGTCAGGACCCGAGGTGCAGGACAGACCCTGAGCAGCCCCCGCTTCCTGACCGCCCGTGGGTGTTCGCGCTCACCTCCTCCGAGAGGCTGCCATTTGTGAACTGCGCGGCCAGGCCCTGGATCAGCCCCGGGTGGATGCTGCGGCCCATCGTGTCCCCGATCTGTGCGAGCTGCCTGGCGATGTCCCAGATGGCCTCCTCTTGACTCGCAGAAACTAAACGTCAGAGAGGGTGGCTCTAGACGACACTTCGCTGACCCCTCCTCCCAGAACACGGCGGTTCTGCTTTGGAGCAAAGCCGGCATCTCCCCACCCCTGCTCCTGAAAACGGTCCGTGATGCTGAGACAGCCGCTGCAGCTAGCTGGGCTCTGGCCCCTGCATCTGACAGCCATCTGCCCAGGAAGTGGTCCAGAGGGCTCTGCAGCCCGGCCATGCTGGCATCACAGGTCCTGGATGCAGCCCCCCTCCCCCTGGGCCCCCAGTGCCCCCTCAGGCTTGTCTTGCTGGCCTCCCCACAGCCTGGACCGTGGCACGCAACTCGAGCTTGATTTCTCTCCTCAAAACCTTCCATGCACCTGCCTCACTTTCAGGGACAGGTCACCCGGATCTGACGTGACCTTGGACCTGAACGTCCACTGTTCCCATCGGAGGTCCAGCCACACTGACTGTGCTCAGTACCGCTCCGGGCCCTGGCCTTCCCACCCCGGGTTCTTGCTGAAGCTACTGCCAGCTCCACCGCACCCGACTCCTGCAGCCCTGACTGCCTAGCCTCTCCCACCTCCTTCCAGCAACTCAGGAGCCACGGCAAGTCCAGCCGAGGGAACGAGTCAGCATCACGAGGTGGCCACCAGAGCCTCTACCTGCCTTTTGCTTCCAAACCTCATTAGGTCCCCGTCCACACGCTCATTTCCTACTGTCATCACTTTGGCCACTGCGTCCAGCGAGGCTTTGGGGCCCCGAAGCAGGGACGGTGTGGGAGAGCCACCCAGGGACAGCCTCTGCTTGTCCCTCCTGCCCCCAGGCCTTCTCATCCTTCCCCAGGGGACCAGCCAGGAGACACAGCAGCTGGATCCCTGGGCCACACCCCTGTCCACCGAGTCGAGGCAGCCGGAGGTCCGGAGGCTGGAGTGGCCCAGAGGGCAGCGCGCAGCAGGAACCAGGCGGAGATGAGCCCACAGCCCTCCCAATGCCTACCTGTGTCCGCTGCGCCCCCGAGGGGGTGGCTCCACTGGCTGCCATCTGTCTGCAGCTCATCGTCGAGGGCCGTGCACATGGGGAGCTGGTGGCCCAGTGCCTCCAGCTCTCTGTGGAAACTGGAGGGGGAGCAGCTCTGGAGGAAGCTGAACACCAGCAGGCTGGTGATGCGCTCATCCTGGGGGCCTGCACCGTTGCTGACCTGAGATGAAAGCCACCTGAGACGGCCTCGCTGGCCCGGGGACCCGCGTGCCCGCCCGCAGGTGAGGGCAAAGTGCTGCTGCTGCAGAAGTGGCTCCTCTCGGGGACGGAAGCCAGGCAGACGCAGACTTAGCGGACAGCCCTGCATCAACGCGCTTTGCCAGGCCCCCCCGTCCTTCACTGGCCACGCATCCAGCAGGTTTTCAGTACAGACCGGGCAGTTGTGACCACAGACAGCGTCTGCCTTTGGCCAGCTGTGGCCGGCTCAGGTGGGTAAGCCCCTTGACCGAGCCTACAGAGAGAACTACCAGGACAGGATGCCGCCTGTCGAAGCCGAGGCGGCCCCAAGGGAACCAGGAGGGACTCCCGGGGCGCTGACTGCAGGCGCACACGCACAGCGGCTGGATGACGGCAGACCCCCACCCCCAAGAGCTGGGACGACGGGCACCGCCTGGCACCTGCCCAGAGCAGGGCCCACGGACACACGTCCCGGGCTAGAAGTGGCCACGAGAGGAAAACACAGGTGCAGGTAGCAGTTGCTTCCAGGTCCCTAATGTTTTTCATTAGAAAAATCAGAAAACTGGGTGAGGGTAGAGCGTGTGCTTAGCATGCATGAGGTCCTAGGTTCAATCCCCAGTATCTCCATTAAAAAAAAATTGTAAAATTAAATACAATTAGTTCCCTCCACCACCACCACCAAAATAAAAAAAATTGCAAAAAGAAAAATCAGAAAACTTTTAGAGAACAAATTGTTTTAAATAAATAACATGCATAGTCAGGTGCTCATATGTTGCCATTAAGCCTTCTCCAGAATTACTCCTGAAAAAGGTAAAAATGTACATAAAGCTCTACGTATTAAATCTTTACGGTGAGGCCAGGTGGCACAAGGCAACTTAGAAACTCAAAGTGCTTCCCTTCTGCCTCAGGGAGGTTCCTGGTGGGGAAGGAGGAACCGGGGCCGAGGCCATGCAGCTGACGGTGCCCCCAGAGCCATCCTAGCCCTGACCCCAGGACCTTTCCCAGATATGGGGTCTTTGCAGATGGCATGAGCTAAGGTCGGGCCACAGTGGACTAGGGAGGACCCTCCATCCAAAGACTGGTGTCTCTACAAGAGAAAGGAGGGGCAGATGCAATGGGAAGACAGGGCAGGAGCCAGAGTGATATGTCTGCCCAGACAGCCAGGCACCAGGAGAGCCTCCAGGAGGAACCCACCCTTCAACACCTGGACCTCAGACCTCTGGACACGGAGGGAAAACACCCAGTTTGTGGGGCTTCGTGGCTGCGGCCCCAGGAAACTAAATCAGGCCATTTCTGCCTGGACTCCCTTCACCTAGAGGCTGGCAAATGGGGTCCCAGAGCCTGGCTGCAGCGCACTAGTTGCCACCGACTTTGCCAGGTCGAGCATCCAAGACGGTGGGAGGGAAGCGTTTCATGTTAGGGGCGTGGGTCCCAAAGCTGCGAGCGGGCAGCCCATGGACGGGGTCCGTTCTGACAGTGTGACAGCAACAGGCTGGACTGGACCCCAGGATGGGCAGTCGGCCCAGCACCAAGAACCAGCTAGGCCGGGGACAAGCCGGGGACGGGCCAAGGAGGGACCAGTGACCACCGTTGACATGAACGTCTCAGAGGCGGGTGCTCTGATGGCTGCCCCTTTAGGTCACAGGGAAACTGAGTTACGAGAAATGATGAAGACTTAGGAAACCTTGCTGGACCAAAGTACCTCTCGCTATAAAGTCAGTTCCAATGCAGAAAAAACGATGGACAGGTAGCCAGCGTGTCTGATACACTGGAAAAGTGCTGGTGTCCAAACCTAGAGAAGGCAACACCAAACACGCAAGCCCTAAAACCAATTTCATTTCTTGCTCTTCTAAATACCAAAAAAAAACATCACAGAAGAACACTACAGTGTGGCTAAACACCACCACACAAACACACAAAACCCCCAAACCCGAGACACTGTGCTCGGTGAGGTCAGACACAAGAGGTCACGCTGCGTGAGTCCCCCACCCGTGTGGCCCCCGAAGCAGCCACTGTTCCAGGAAGCACAGGACGAGGGGCCGGGCGGTGGCGGCCACAGAACAGGGTGAGCACAAGCACTGCCACTGAGCTTATGCTTTAAAAACGTTACAGTGGTTAATTTTACACTATGTACATTTTACTGTATTTTTTTTTTAAACTGGAAAATAATGTAAGTCAGAAAGAGATACAAGATGCAAATTCTGGTGGGGGAAGAGGAGGCGCCTGCGAGTCTCCTCACGAACTAACGCTGGGGGACTCCCGAGTCTCTGCTGGAAGGAAAAAGTAAAAAGGGAAGGGTTCCGCAGCCCCCCCCACCGGTTCAGGTGTCGGAGACGCAGGACCAGCGGCCGGCGCCCTGGGCGCAAGTCAGAGGGGGCACCGTAGGGCAATTTGGACCCTGATAACAGGCCTTCGCCAGCACAAGGGCAGCTCCCCAGACCCCTTCTGTTCTACCAGCTGACATTTCTCCTGCAGCACCCGGCAGGTAACAGCGTGGCTGACATCCCTGTAGAAGGATGTTTGCAAGGTTCACACCGAGACCCTTCAGGTGCCAGATGCTGCTCAGGAACCCGGGCACCGAGCTCACAGTCCCACCTCCTCAGACGCCTCCTACAGGGGCTGGTGGGACTGGGGGTACCTGATGCTGGGCCCTGACATGACAGAAGAGGAAGGAAGACCAGGCAGATATGACTGGCAACGCCATGATTCCTTCTCGCGCCCGTGTTCATTCAAGGCACCCGGCAGCATTTAGGCACCGAGAAGGCAGGCACCAAGGGGGCTGGCCCATACTGCCCGAGGTAACCACTCCCAGGAGCTCCCAGCCTTTCAGAGGCCTTCAATCAGAAAGCCTCCTTGTCCTTCGGTGAGGACAAGAGGGGCGAGGGGACGAGAGAGGCCCGTTTTCTCCCCCCGTGCTCCAGGAAGTTGTGAGTGAGAGGCTCCTTCCGCAGGGCTGCCCCCCCAAGCCTCCCCTGGGACAACCACAGCATCTGACCTTAGAATCCATGGCCTAGGCAGCCTGGCGGGCTCCGGCTCTCAGGGGTCCAAGTTGGTGGCCTGGAAGAGAACACACACAGGGTGGGTGCTGGTTCCTGCAGGGACACCCACTCCAGGACCCCTCAGGGAAGAGGGGAGCCGTCCTTCCCAACTGTGCGCACCCTGGGCTCCCACTTCCTCTGCAGCTTGAAACTTGGGGAGCGCAGAACCCCGTTATGGAGACTGAGGCCCCACCCCGAGTTCATGGCTCAGGCAAATAGGGCAGACAGACTCCCCACGCACCGAGCTGCCTCCATGAATAGGACCCAGCGTCCCTGGGGGTCTCTGCATCACTGCCACCACCCGAGCACAGGCCTCCCCTCAGCCACCACCCAGGGCACACCACACGGACCCTGACTCCGTGGTGCACACTCGAGCGGTGGCCAGGCAGGCCAGCTCCCCATGAGCGTGGCTTCAAGGGCAGAGAAGAGAAACTTCCCACAGAAAGGAGAAAGAATATCTGACAGTTACACAGAAGGTTAAAGCTTCCATTCAGCATATCTTACAGACTAAACAATCCAGCGTCAAGAAGGGACCAGATGAGCCCACTGGAGACGGGGCTGAACCAAGTGAGCTGGCATCTGGGAGAGCAAAACGCCACACCCGCTCATTCCACACGGTTCCTAAACACCCAGGAGGACAAGACAGACAAAACGGACAGCCAGCTCCTCTTCAGGGAGGAAGGGCAGAGTGGCCTCCACCTCCCTGTCCCGGGTGCCCTGGCCTCATGCATCCCCAGCCCATGCACCCTATGGGGCGGGGCGGGGTGGGGCGGGGCGGGCTGAGTGTCTGGGAGGAAAGGGGCCAAGAGCAAAGACACAGGTGGAGGCAGACAGGCAGGGGGCAGAGCGGGAGCCACTGTCAGCATCAGGACACAGCAGACAGAACAGCCCCCAGGGAAGAGGCCAAACCACGGCCATAGCCACAGGCCCCCCCCCGCCACCCCGCTCTGAGGAACCAGCATCAGGATGCTCTCCACAGAAGCACCTCACCGGCCGCCCCCACCTGGTCCATGACCATGGCACTCACACTGGCCGCATTCCCGTCTTCACAAAATATCCTAACCCTTTGAACAACCCTTGAACCACGCGGGGGTTAATCTGCGCAGAATTCACCCAGACCTGCACTCTGCACTCTCAGACAACAGCCCGGGGCCGTGTGGCATTTTTTAATGAAAACCATGGGCATGAGTGGACCTGCTGTTCCAGGGTCAGCTGTGCTGATGTGTCTATAGCCACAGATGCACAAAAAGACCCAGACCTGCCGGGGAGCGACTTTTCCTTCTTAAATGAACACATACTAGATTTTACTGAACTCACTATTTAATGGAGAAAAGAGTAAGACGATAAAACCACTCCACACCCACAGGAAAGGAGGCAGGGTGTCGCATGTCTGGGCACGTCGCTGGCACTAGCACCAGTCTCCTGCCACTTACAGAGGCCTTCAGTAGCCCCAAATCGAGAAACCCAGAGAGGGCCAGCTGGCCGGAACACGCGGGGGTTTTGTGCATGTGGGTCTTTCGCAGTTTCTCCAGACAGTCTCCAGCCTGGGCTTAGATGACTCTCACACACAGGCGGTCTCACTAGGCTGCCTCACGGGCCCATCCTGGCAGCAGCAGCGTTAGTTAACCAGCGAGGCCTCCTCTGTTTCTTTTGCAAATTTAGATCCGTGGCATTAAACAGCTACCAAAGGCACAGAATCGACTTCGGTCTGGAAATTTTCGTAAGGAAGCTTGAAAGCAGCCCTTGCCTGTTCACGCATTTCTGTTCCCCTCTAACCCTTAAGAGAACCTAATTACAGGAATGAAAGCAACTGAAACCAACTCCTGACTTAGGCTCCGTGAATGCACACCACGCCTAGTCTGACCGGATGACGGCCGTGCTAGCTCTCCGCCCCCACAGCCCCCTGGCAACCCCGCAGGCAGATCGTGGGCAGAGTAACATCTGAAGAGTCCATCAGTCCGTGCAGGGAGGACTGTCCCCCCTTCTCCCTTTGAAAACACCCCAGCAGAGCAGGGCCTTCGGCGTGGTCTCTGAGCAAGAGTCCACTTTCTCCCCAGACTGCCGGCTTTTCTGATTAAAGCACCTTCCTTTCTACTGACACCTGCCTCGACAATGGCTTCTGAGTGGCAAGCAGGTGAACCTGAGTTCAGCAATGAGCTCGAACTGGGCTTTTTGCTGCCTGAGGGTAGGAGCCAGGCCTAAAACTCCACAGGCTTCACCTGCAGTTCCCACAAAGGTGTAAGAATTCCTCTGGAAAAAAGGGGAGCCCAGCCATGGGGAGCAAGGGCCGTTTATCCAGACACTGGCACCTGGCAGGAGAGGGTGGGAGAGCTTTGCGATGAGGGAGGTTCCTGGAGGGCAGAGTCCAATGCAGACCCAGGGTGGAAGCAGGAACAAAAACCAGGGAAGCTGTCAGTTACTGACCAAGTCCTGAGGTAATATGTAGCTTCCAGGACGTCGCCAGAGAGCAGTCTGACTCGACCTACCAGGCTGGCCTCCTGGGCAGGGGCCTCCTCTGTTAGCATACAGTCGGCCCACTGTCTGTCCGAATATTCGGTCTCCCGCCGCCCTTCCAGGCCCCCTGGAAGTGACCCTCCTCCCACCACCACCAGGGACCCCATGGCCAGACTGGCTTCCCTGCGGCTCTGCAGGTTTGCCCCCAAGACAACTCAGTTCTGTGACAAGCGGCTTGTCACACCCAAGCACATGAGCATCACTCAGGAACAAGGGCTCTCAATTCGTCCAGTGTTACTAAATCCAGGTTAAAAAAACAAAAGGACGGTATGGCGGTTTTCAAAAAAAATTATATACAGAATCATGGTCTGCTCCAGCAGCTCTGCCCCCAGGTATACAGGAAGTGAATAGGAAGTGAGAGCAGGACAGACGGGCTGCACCCCGGCCTTCCCGGCCGCATTACTCACAGCAGCTCCAAGGTGCAAACAGTGTCCCTCAACAGGTGAGCAGACGAGCGAAATGTGCCCATCCACACGGTAAATACAATCAGCCGCAAAAAGGAAATTCCAGCACCTAGTACCACACACAGGGACCTGGAGGACATTGTGTGAGTGACATAAGCCAGACACAAAACGGCAGATTCTCTGCGATTCTCTGAGGTCCCTGGGGGTCGAACTCACAGACAGTGGACTGAGGTCTGCCGGGGCCGGGGGACGGGGCCACAGCCACGTGCGTGGGCTTCACAAGCCTCTGCTTGTACGTTTGGAAACAGTTAAAACGGAAAAATTTGTGTGTATTTTACCACATGCACAAAAGAGAAGGCAATTCTGACACCTGTGACAACGTGGACACCATGTGACAGTGTGAGCATTATGTGACTGTGGACATTATGGGATGGCGAGGACATGCTGTGAATGAAACAAGCCAGACACAGGAACACATGTTGTCTGATCCCACTTGCATGAGAAGCCGTCTGCTTTTTAGAGAATTAATTCCTTATCAATGCCACTAAACTGTACACTTAGAATAGTTAAAAAGGTAAATTCTGTATCTACCGCAATAAAAAAAAGTTTGGAAAAAACCCTGTATCACCACACAAAACGAGGAGGCTTAACAAGAATTCTGCAGGTAAGAGCCAGATGTCAGTTGTCTGCCAGATTTTTATGGCTGACAGTTTAAGAAAGTTTCCTTGTGTGTCTAGAAAGTGGAAATTAAAATGTCGGCAGCATTCCAGGCAAACCCCGGTGTCCAGTGTATGCTGCCTGCAGGGCGGGGCCGCACCTGAGTTGAGGCTCGGCTGCTAAAGCCAGATGAGAGGAAGCCTGGTCTGGAAAGGTCAGGTGCAGACGCCAGCCTTCCCCGCTGTGGACGCCCCAGTCGCTGACCACTTGGCCGCTGGGAGTGACTCACAGATTTCTCTAACCAACGAAGTCACAACAGAAGGGGGTCGCCTCTCTTGGGTACCGCGCAGAACAAACCCCATCAGTGTTTTCCCGGGAATAAAACCGGATCGTGGACAGCAAAAGCGCTCCCACAAAGCACAGTTTGAGTTACTTACATTAGTGACATTTTACCCAGACACGTAACCAAGGGGCTGCACCTCTTCTGACCACTCTTCCCACAAAGCTCTTACAACACTTCAAACAGATGTCATTAATTTTATAATA